CTCTTCGGTGAGACGAACCGGTGGCACACGCACCTCGTCTCCGGCCTCCAGCTTGCGTTCGGCCTTGGCCCGGCCGCCGTTCACCCGCACCTGTCCGCTGCGCACCAGCTTGTAGACCAGGCTGCGCGGGGCGCCTTTCAGCTGGCCGAGCAGGAAGTTGTCCAGGCGCTGGCCGGCGCGGTCGGCGGGAACGGTGATCATGCGCACGGAAGGCTTGTCGCCAGCGGGCTTGGTGGGGTCTTGGGCGGTCATCAGGCTGTTTATTCTGTTACACTCGGGGGGCGAGATAAGGGATTGATTTCGTTGGAAGTTACTCAGGGCCAGAAGCCCAGCTTCCGACGAATCCGGCACAGTGCGCGACCACCGCCCGCGGGGCGGCCATGTTAGCGGCTCACCGGCCTTCCCGGCCATCGCCGGATGCCTGACACGCAACCGTGCTGAACATGTCCCGCGTGGCGCAGTGGTATCAACGCAGAGTACTACACCCAAAAACCCATAAGAGTGAAGCGCTCCCGCGGCCTGCCGTGGTGTCGTAGCGCTGGAAACCCAAGCCGCCCTCCCCGCGCTTGCGCGAATGGGCGGCGAGCCGTGTCCAGAGGCGAAACCCCATGGCGTTCCGCGCGGTAGCCGCTTGCGAGGAACGCAACAATGAAGCGAATGCTGATCAACGCCACGCAGGCTGAAGAGCTGCGTGTTGCCATCGTGGATGGCCAGTCGTTGTATGACATCGACATCGAACAGCCGTCGAAGGAACAGAAGAAGTCCAACATCTACAAGGGCCGGATCTTCCGCATCGAGCCCTCGCTGGAAGCGGCCTTCGTCGAATACGGTGGTGGCCGCCATGGCTTCCTGCCGCTGAAGGAAATCTCCCGCGACTACTTCCAGGCCGGTGTCGACCACAACAAGGCCGGCATCCGTGAGCTGCTGCGGGAAGGCCAGGAAATCGTCGTCCAGGTGGACAAGGAAGAGCGCGGCAACAAGGGCGCCGCCCTGACCACGTTCATCTCGCTGGCCGGCCGCTACATGGTGCTGATGCCGAACTCGCCGAGCGCGGGCGGTGTCTCCCGTCGCATCGAAGGCGAAGACCGGGCCGCGCTGAAGGACGCCCTGGACAAGCTGAACATCCCCGACGACATGGGCGTGATCATCCGCACCGCCGGCGTCGGCCGCGATGCCGAAGAGCTGCAGTGGGATCTGGACTACCTGCTCAACGTCTGGCGTGCCATCGCCGAGGCCGCGCTGAGCAAACCGGCCCCGTTCCTGATCTACCAGGAATCGCGCCTGATCGTGCGCGCCCTGCGTGACTACCTGCGCGCCGACATCGGCGAGATCCTGGTCGACACCGAGGAGATGTACGAGCACGCCCGCGAGTTCATGCAGCAGGTGATGCCGCAGACCCTGCGCAAGCTCAAGCACTACAAGGACGACATCCCGCTGTTCAACCGCTTCCAGATCGAGTCGCAGATCGAAGGCGCCTACGAGCGCAACGTGCGCCTGCCGTCGGGTGGCTCGATCGTGGTCGACCAGACCGAAGCGCTGACCGCGGTCGACGTCAACTCCTCGCGCGCCACCAAGGGCAGCGACATCGAGGACACCGCGTTCCAGACCAACCTGGAAGCGGCCGAGGAAGTGGCCCGCCAGCTGCGCCTGCGCGACCTCGGCGGCCTGGTGGTAATTGATTTCATCGACATGGCCTCCAACAAGCACCAGCGCGAGGTCGAGAACCGCCTGGCCAACGCGCTGAAGTACGACCGCGCGCGCGTGCAGGTCGGCCGCATCTCGCGCTTCGGCCTGCTGGAAATGAGCCGCCAGCGCCTGCGTCCGAGCCTGGGCGAGTCCAGCCAGATCGTCTGCCCGCGTTGCGACGGCCACGGCCGCATGCGCAGCGTCGAGTCGCTGTCGCTGTCGATCATCCGCGTTGCCGAAGAGCATGCGATGAAGGAGAACACCGGGCAGGTGCTGGTCCAGGCCCCGGTGGAGATCGCCAATTACCTGCTGAACGAAAAGCGCAGCGCCCTGCGCGAGATCGAGCAGCGCCACGAAGCGCCGATCGTGATCGTCGCCGACGAGCAGCTGCACACCCCGCACTACACCGTGACCCGCCTGCGCGAGAACGAGCTGGGCGAAGAGAGCAACAAGCCCAGCTACCAGCGCGGCACCCCGCGCAAGCTGCCGGTGCACGCCCTGACCAAGGGCCAGCTGAACATCCCGCCGCCGGCGGTGACCCAGGTCAAGCACACCTCCCCCGCCCCGGTGCGCGAGGAAGTGGAGCCGGCCGCGGCCGCTCCGGCTCCGGTGGTGGCCGCGCCGGTGGCGCAGGCTCCGAGCGGTGGCGTGATCGGTTGGCTCAAGCGCGTGTTCGGTGGCGAACCGGCCCCCGCACCGGCGCCGGCGGCTCCGGCGGCGCGCCAGCAGCAGGACGGCGGCCGCAAGGACCGCAACAAGGATCGCAACAAGGACCGCAAGGACCGTCGCGACGACAACCGTGGCAACGGCGGCAACGGCAACGCACAGCAGCAGAAGGACGGCGGCAACCGCAAGGACCGCGGTGAGCAGCGCAAGGACGGCCGCAACGGTAACAACAGCAATGCCCAGCAGCAGCCGCAGCAGGGCAAGCAGAAGGAGCCGCAGCAGAAGGATGGCCAGCAGCCGCAGCAGCAGAACAAGCCGCGCAACGAGCAGCAGGGCCAGAACCCGCAGCAGCCGAAGCTGAAGCAGCCGAAGCAGCCGCGCCCGCAGCAGGACGGTGACAAGCCGGCCGAGAAGCCGCAGCGCAACGCCGCCGAGGTCTCGACCGAAACCGTGACTGCGGCTGCCGCCGTGGCCGCCTCGGCGGTCGCCGCCAACGTGGTGACTGCGCAGGAAGCGACTGCACCGGTGGCGCCGGTCGTCCCGGTGTCCACCGCTCCGGTGGACGCCGCAGCACCGGTCGAGACCGCTGCCAATGCGGCCAGCGAGGCCGAGGTGGTTGCGGTCGCTGGTGAAGAGGCTGCAACCGACGCCAACGGTGACCAGGCCGGCGAAGGCGCGACCCGCCGTCGTCGCGGCCGTCGCGGTGGCCGTCGCCGTCGTCGCGGTGGCGCCGAGAACGCTGCCGGCAGCGACGTTCTGGGCGATGACCAGGACGACGGTGACGACGGCGATGACACTGATGTCGCCGAGCCGACCGCTGACAGCACTGCCGGCACCGCGCCGGTCGCTGCTGCGCAGCCGGCTCGTTCGCAGCCGGAGTTCGACTTCGATGATGAAGTCGAGCCCGCCGCTACCGACGCCGCAAAGCCGGCTCGCGCCGCTGCTGCCGTTGTCGCCGCGCCGGTCGCGGTGGTGAGCAGCGCCGTGGTCGAAGCCGCTGCGCCGGTCGTGGCCGAAGCGAAGGCTCCGGTCGAAGCTACGGTCAAGGCCGAACCGGCACCGTCGCCGGTACAGACCAGCATGCTCGATGCCATCGACGCTGCGACGCCGGTGCAGCCGGCGGCCGTTGCGACCCCGGTGACGGAAGCAACGCAGGCGGTGGTCGAGGCTGCCCCGGTCGTTGAAGCTGCCCCGGCTGTTGAGACGAAGCCGGTCGTGGCCGAGGCAGCGCCGGTGGTGGAATCGAAGCCGGAGGTTGTTGACGCTTCCCCGGTGGCGGAAGCCCAGCCGGCGGCCGTTGAGGCTGCCCCGGTGGTGGAGACCACTCCGGTGGTGGACGCCGCTGTGGCGATTGAAGCCACGCCGGTCGTCGAGACCGCGCCGATCGCCGAACAGCCGGTCGCCCCGGTGGCGGTCGAGGCCGCTCCGGTGGAAGCCGCTGCCCCGGTCGCCGAGGCAGTGGTGGCACCGTCGATTGACCCGGTTGCCGATGGCCACACCGACGCTGCGGCCCAGGCTGCCGAAGCCAAGGCTGACGAAGAAGACGAAGAGACCGCCAAGCGCACGCCGCCGGCGCACTGATCGCCTCCTGATCGTGTGAATCGAAACGGCGGGGATCGATGATCCCCGCCGTTTTTGTTTGTGTGATTGGCGCTGGCTTCGCCTTGGTAGAGGCCAACCTTGGTTGGCACCGTTGATTGAATGCACGCGGGCACGCCGGTGCCAACCAAGGTTGGCACCTACCAGAGCGGGTCTATCTCAGGGTTTCGGCGCGAACTGCAGGCGGGTCCACACGCCGTAATGATCCGAGGCCCAGCGACCGCTGTCGTCGGGCTGGTCGAACAGCAGCTTTGCCTCGCGCGCGACCATCTCGTCCTGCTGGAAGAAGATGTGGTCGATCCGCGAGGGCGCCTGGTAATAGTGCCGGTTCAAGGTGCTGACCCCGGCCAGGTCCGTATTGACGTGCACGCTGCCAAAGCTGTCACCGTAACGGCTGCGCAGCGCACTCAGGTCGCCGGCATCCACCAGTGCATTGAAGTCGCCCGCGATCACCACCGGCGCACCGGCCGAGGTGTCACTGATGAAGCGCAGCAGGTCTTCCACCTGGCTGCGGCGGATGCCCTGGCCACGCTCGTCGCTGCGCTCGTTGAGGTGCGTGGCGTAGACATTCACCGGCGTTCCATCGACATCGATGCGCAGATGGGCGACGGTACGGTAGTCATCCAGCGGCTGCAGCAGGTGATCGCCGCGAGCCAGGATCGGACGGCGGGTCAGCAGCGCATTGCCGTAGCGCTTGGGTGCCCCGACCGGATCGGTGGACACGAACACGTACGTGTAGCCGAGTTGGCTGGCCAGCCACTGCGCCTGGTTCCGCACGTTGCGGCGCTGGATCACCTCCTGCAGGGCAACCGCATCCGGCTGCAGGCGCTTGAGCTCGGCCAGGATGGTGCGGCGACGACTCGGCCAGTCTTCGCGGTCGTGATGCAGGTTGAAGGTGACCATGCTCATGCCGGGCGCATTGGCCACCTCAGCCGACGCGGCGGTGGCTGCAGGCTCGACCGCCATCACCATGCCCGGCAGTGCCATTGCAATCGCCAGCCCCAGGGCACGCACCGACGTGCGTACCTTCGCCCGCTGCAGCTTCATCGTTACTGTCCCTTGCGTTCGGCGCGGCGCACCGCGCTCGGCACGTCGATCTCGACCCGCGCCGGCAACTGGTGCACGTGCAGTTCCTTGTTGATCCACTCAACCGCTTCACCGTTGACGGTGGCATCGCCCGGATCACCGCTGTACGGCCAGGGCAGCACCACGCCGCCCACCGGCGGTACCAGGCCCTGCTGCAGCTCCAGCACCAGCTGCTTGTCACTGCGCTGCAGGCGGTAGTTCAGCTGGCCCTGCGGCGTGCGCAGGCCCTGCACGGCGATGCCCTCGCCCTGCAGCCACGCGGCGGGCACGCCGGCGGCCAGCACCAGTGCGTCGTCCATGTCGCGGTTGTAGGCGAACATGTCCAGCGCCGAGCGCACGAAGTCCGAGGCGACCCAGGCGTGCGGCAGGTCACCGACGAAGAACGGCTTGCGCGGCGTGCGTGACACCACTTCCGCCCATTGGTTCCAGGCCTGCGGCGCACGGTCATTGAAGAAGAACCCGGTGGCCTGCCAGGCACGGTCGCGCCAGCCCAGGCGCACGAACGCGGCCACGTTGCGCCACTCGTACGGGGTGTAATCCTTCCACTCGCGCTTGCCATCGCGGCGGGCCACGAATTCCTTCCAGTAGCGCTCGAAGGTTGCTTCCAGCGCCTGCTGCGGCAGGCGGCCCTGCTCACCGCCAGGGGCCAGCGCGATGGTGGTCGAGGTCGCATCGAAATCGCCCAGCTCGGCCGAGCCCGGCAGGTAATCGATGTTGTGCTGCTGCATCGCAGACAGCAACGACGCCTGCAGGTCATCGCGGAACTGGTCGCGCGATTCGGCGATCTGCATCGCCTCGAGCTTGCCCAGCTGGGTCGCCAGCAGCGCAGCGTCCTTGTAACCGCGCAGTGCCCAGAAGTTGTCCCAGTACGAATGCATCGGCTTGGCCGAATAGCCTTCGTGGCTGATCGAGGCCGGCATCATGCCGTAGAAGGCCGGGTTGCGCGCCCGGTTTTCCTCGGTGCGCTCGCTGGCGCGCAGTTGTTCCATGTAGGTATAGGCGCCCTGCACGTGCGGCCACATCAGTTCGACGAAGGTGCTGTCGCCGGTATAGCGCCCATATTCGGCAATGCTGTAGATCAGCTCACCATGGCTGTCGTTCTCCGGCACCGGGTCGCTGCCGCGCGCGTCGACGCAGCACGGCACCTTGCCGTTCTCGAACTGGTACGGCGCATACCAGTTGATGTAGTCGCGCACGGCGTCGCTGCGGCCCATGCGCAGCAGGCCTTCGGAAATCATCGCGCCATCGCGGATCCAGCTGCGCGCGTAGGAACGCGTACCCGGCTGCAGGCGCGGCCCAACGCGCGAGATCAGCATGTGCGCCACCGCGGTACGCAGGGTGTCGACCAGCGCCTGGCCGGCTGCCGGCACCTGCAGCGAGACCACGCCCAGCTTCTGTCGCCACTGCTCGGCCACCTGTGCCTGGGCCTTGGCCACATCCAGCGCTCTGGGCGCCCAGCCACCGGTCTGCGGCAACACCACCGCCACTTCGCGGCTCTGGCCGGGCTCCAGCTTGATCGTATACATCAGCGCGCCCGACGCCATGCCGGTGCTGTCCTTCACCGCCGTGGTGGCCGGGTACTTGCCGCTGGCCAGATGCATCGCATCGAGCTTGCCGTCGAACGTGCTGGCGAAGCGCGCGTCCGGCACCTGCAGCGGGTAGATGCGCGGCTCGCCGTTGACGCGCACCAGCTGTTCGCCGACATCCAGCTCATCGATGCGGCTGAAGCCGCCGACGGTGTTGAGGAACTGGGTCGGCGGGTTGACCTGCCAAGGGCGGATCGCCAGTGCCAGGGTGTACTCGTGCGCGACCTTGTCCGGATTGCTCAGCCGGTAGCGGCCGATCAGCTGCGCGCGCTCCGGCGTGCCCTGCACGAAGCTGGTCACGGCCAGGCCGACCTTCTCGTGTACCCAGTCGACGTTGGCGATCGGCAGATAGTGGTCCTGCAGCGACTGGGTGATGGCCACTTTCGACCAGTCCAGCAGCTTGCCATCGAGCCGGATGAACGGTTCGATGCTGAAGCTGCCCTTGGCCGGCTCCAGTGCGCCGTCTTCGCTGATCAGCGCCTGCTCCTGGCCGCCATCGAGGCCCAGCAGGGTCCAGTACGGCTGTTCACCGACATAGGCGCGCGGCAACGCACCGCGCGGCAGGTCGGCAGCCACCGACGACAGGAACGCATTCGGAGTGGCAGCGAAGGCCAGCGGCTTGAGCGCGATATCGCGGATGCCGTAGCGCCAGTTCGGGCCGTCCTGCAGGTCGAAGCGCACGTAGCGTGCGTCAGTATCCGGCAACGCCAGCCAGTCGCGGCCACCGGCACCACTGGTCACTTCGCGTACGGTGCGCCAGTCGCGGCCGTCCTCCGAGGTGCGCACGGTATAGCGGCGCGCTTCCAGGTCCGGCAGCCAGTCGATCACCGCACCGCCGATCTCGCGGCTCTTGTGCAGGTCCAGGCTGATGGTCTGCTGCTTGACGCCCCCGCTGATCCAGAACGTATCGCTCTTGCCGTCGATCATGCGGTCCTGCAGCGCGGTGGCGGTATCGGCGATCACCGATGGCACCAGCGCTGAATCATCCTGCGGCGGCAGGCCCTGCAGGGTCAGCCTGTCGAAACACACCGTGCCCCGGCCGCCGACCTTGCTGTAGATCGTGAACTCGACCGCGGCACTGCGCGCCATCTCCTTCTCGGGCGACGGCCCCCACGCCTTGTCGATCTGCCGGCGGCGGTACTCGACCGGCGTCCACGCCTTGGGGAAGCTGTAGCCGGGGCGGTTGACCCACCACACGTTGTCACCGCTGGCGTCGATCAGCTTGAACTGCAGGTCATTGCCCGGCGAATCACCGCGCAGCTGGAAGCCGAAGCGATAGTTGACTGGGTACTCGATGTTGAGCGCGCGACGGATGCCGACGTAGCCGGAGACCTTGTGGAAATCGTAGTCGAGGCACAGCGCGCGGCCACCACCGGCACCACTGACCGGGCGCAACGAACCACTGACCTGGTCGGACAGGACCAGTTTCCAGGCGCCGATATCGTCGAAATCGTCCAGCACTTTCGGTGCCGGCAGCGCCGGCGGCGCGGCGATCGCCAGGGAGGTCCACAACAGGCCCAGTCCAACGGCGATCGCTCGCTTCATCCTTTGACGCTCCCCAGCAACAGACCTTGGATGTAGTACCGCTGCAGCACCAGGAACAGCGCCAGCACCGGGACCACGGTGACCACCGCGCCGGCCATCATCATTTCCACGTCCATGATGTGTTCGCGCGAGAGGGTGGCCAGTGCCACCGGCAAAGTGTAGTGCTCCTGGTCGGTCAACACGATCAACGGCCACATGAAATCGTTCCACGCACCCATGAAAGTGAAGATCGCCAGGGTCACCAGCACCGGCTTGAGCATCGGCAGAACGATCTGGAAGAAGATGCGCAGCTCCCCTGCCCCGTCGATGCGCGCCGCTTCCAGCAGCTCGTCCGGGATCGAACGCGCGTACTGCCGCACCAGGAAAATGCCGAACACGCTGACCAGCGCCGGCACGATCACGCCGCCGAAACTGTTGACCAGGCCCAGCTGCTTCATCAGCAGGAACAGCGGCAGCATCGCCACCTGCGCCGGGATCACCAGCGCGGCCATCAGCACCTGGAACAGGCGCTCGCGGCCGACGAAGTTCAGCTTGGCGAAGGCATAGCCGGCCATGGTGTTGAGCAGCAGCGAACCGATGGTGATGCCCAGCGACACCAGCAGGCTGTTGGCGAAGTTGCCGCCCATGCCGGTGCGCGCGAACAGCTCATGGTAGTTGTGCGTGGTGATGCTCGAAGGCAGCAGCGGCGGCGGGAAATGGCTGGCCTCGCCCTGCGGCATGAACGACACCGACACCATCCACAGCAGCGGCGCCAGGCTGACCAGGGCCAGCACCAGCAACGCACCATTGATCATCCACGGGTACCAGCGCGACTGGCCGATCTCACGACTCATACCAACTGCCTCTTGCGGCCGAAACGCAGCATCACGGTGGTCACCGCCAGGATGATCAGGAACAGCAGGAACGCCACTGCGGAGGCGCGTCCCAGGTTCCACCACTTGAAGCCTTCCTCGAACATGAAATACAGCACGCTGACGGTGCTCTGCAGCGGGTCGCCACGGGTCATCACGTACGGCTCGGCGAACAGCTGGAAGTAGCCGGACACGGTAATCACCCCGACCACCAGCAGCACCGGGCCGAGCATCGGCAGGGTGATGTGCAGGAACTGCTTCCAGCGTGAGGCGCCGTCGATGCGCGCGGCCTCGTACAGGTCATGCGGGATCGCCTGCAGGCCGGCCAGGAAGATCACCATGTTGTAGCCGAAGTTCTTCCACACCGCGAACAGCATGATGGTCGGCATCGCCCAGTTGGGATCGCCCAGCCAGTCGATCGGGCTGATGCCCAGATGGCCCAGGCCGTAGTTCACCAGCCCGTAACTGGTATGGAACAGGTAGCGCCAGATCACTGCCACCGCCACCAGTGTGGTCACCACCGGGGCGAACAGCGCGGTGCGGAACAGCGCCTTGAAGCGCGCGGCCGGTGCATTGAGCAGCATCGCCGCGCCCAGCGACACGCCGATCGACAACGGCACGCCGATCAGCACGAAGTAGGTGGTGTTCCACAACGACTTCCAGAACATCGGTGTCTGCAGCAGATCGATGTAGTTGCCCAGGCCGACGAAGCGCAGGTTGCTGCTGTCAGCCAGCGCGTAGAGGTCGAAGTCGGTCACGCTCAGCGCCAGCGCCGAGGCCACCGGCAGGCCGAAGAACACGCCCAGCACGATCAGCGAAGGGCCGGCGAAGATCCAGCCGGCAAGTGAAGTACGTTTCATTGCGCGCTCCCGGCGGCCACGGCACTGCTCGATTGCGGCGACGGCGCACGCTGCTGCAGGCGTTGTTGTTCATGCATCCAGCGGCGCTTGGCCAACACCTTGTCCACGCGCTGGTCCAGCTCTTCCACCGCCTTGTCCTGCGGCAGGCCACCGCGCACCACCTTTTCGGTGACGATGCGCATTTCCTGCACGATGCGCTCCCACTCGAGCACCTTCGGCGTCGGCTTGACCCGCTCCAACTGGTCACGGAACGCAACCGCCAGCGGATCGTTGGCCAGCGACGGCGCATTCCAGGTACTGCGGCGCGGCGGCAGGTCACCGATGATCGAGTGGAAGCGCGCCTGGATTTCCGGCCGCGACAGGAACTCGATCAGCTTCCACGAGGCCTCCTTCTGCTGCGACTTGCGGAAGATCACCAGGCTGGTGCCACCGGCAATGCCGGCCCCGGGGCCGTCCGGCCCCGGCAATGCGGCGGTGCCCCACTGCCCTTCCAGCTCCTTCGGCTGCAGCTTCTTGAACTCGCGGATGTTCCAGGGGCCGGAGATGTAGAACACGTTGAAGCCCCGGAAGAACTCGTCCCAGACGTTGGAAATCTGCGTCTCGGACATCTTCGGCGCCCAGCCCTGCTCGAACATGTTGGCGTAGAAGGCCAGCGTGCGGCGGAACCCCGGGCTGGCGAAATTGCCTCGGGTGTCATCGTCGCGCAGCAGCGGGTCGGGCTGCTGCAGCGCCAGCGACAGCTGCTGCTCGAACTCGTTGATCGGCATCAGTACCGCGTAGCGGTTCGGCCCCTGCATCTTCTTGATCGCGGCCATCTGCTCGTCCCACTCCTGCCAGGTGCGCGGCGGATGGTCGTAGCCGGCCTTGGCCAGCAGGTCCTTGCGGTAGTAGATCAGGCGGGTATCGACATACCACGGCACGCCGACCAGCTCGCCATGGATCACGTTGGTATCCCAGATGCCCTGGAAATAGTCCTTCGGGTCCACCACGGACGAACGCTGCACGAACGGCTGCAGCGGCGTCAGCGCGTCGAGTTCGGCGAACTCGGGCACCCAGGTGTTGCCGAGCTGGCATACATCCGGCAGGCCGTCGGCGGCGAACGCCGTCAACAGTTTCTCGTGCGCGGCGGTCCAGGGAATGTTCTGCACATCCACCTTGATGCCGGGGTTCTCGGCCTCGAACTCGTGGATCAGCTCGCTGACTACTTCGGCCTCGCGGCCCATCGCCCAGAAACGCACGGTGGTGGTGCCCGGCTCGGTGCGGGCGCAGCCGGCCACGGCCAGTGCGGCCAAGGCAGGCAGCGCCCAGCGGCGCAGGCGGTCGATCCAGTTCGGCATCGGGTTACTTGCCCTGGCCTGTGGTGCGGTTGGCATTGTTCTTCTGTTCCTGCGCGGCAGCCGCGCGTGATTCGGCGATACCCACCGCGCGTGCCGCCGCGGCCTTTTCGTCCTTCTGCAGTTCCAGCGGCTGGAACGAGCCTTCCGGCGCCAGCCAGCCACCACTGAACCCGGCCCGTTCCAGCCCCTTGCGGATGTACGGGTTCTTCTTCATCACTTCCCACACGAAATCATTCCGGTAGTTGGCGATCATGGTCAGGATCGGGCCCTGGTCGATGGCGATGTAGTCGCTGGCGACCCAGCCACGATCCGGCACCAGGCGGCCGGTCTTGATCGGAATGTCGTAGTTGAAGCTGGGATTGAACGAATCCAGGAAACCGTAGCTGGAATAGATGTAGTCGCCATAGCGCTTGTGCATCTCCAGCGTGGCCGGGATCACCTGCTCGGGCGCGAACACCACCGACGCGATCGCGGCGGTCGGGGCGATGGTGCCGTCATCGAAGTTCTCGCGCAGGCCGGCGCCGCGCGAAGAGTAATGGCGGAACTGGCGCTGCTCGCCGCGGTATTCCTGGGTGGTGTTCTGCGGGCCGTCGCTGGCGGTCAGGCCCCACACGTTCTCGCCATAGTCCTTCCACTGCATCGGGTTGGCGATGGCGTACTCGCGCTGGGCCAGCGCGGCCGAACGGCTGTTGAGGAAATAGGTGCTGCCGCGCTCGCGCATGTACGCGTCCTGGATGTCGCGGAAGTCGATCCAGACGTGGCTGTACTGGTGGCCGAACAGCGGGCCGAAGGACAGGTATTCCTGGCCCTGGTAGACACCCCAGTCGTTGTCGTAGGTCCGCGTCCATACCGTCCAGGCATCCGGGCTGACCGGGTGCGTCGGCGAGCCTAAAGCAAGGATGTAGACCATCATCGCCTCGTTGTAGCCCATCCAGTCGTGGTCGATGAAGCCGCTCTCGGGGAACCAGCCCATCGAGATCAGCGGTGCACGCTGCTGCAGCCACGGCCAGTCGATCTTCCTGTACAGCGTGTCGGCGATCTGGCGGATTTCCTTCTCGCGCGGATCGTCGCCATCGTAGTACGACTGCGCGAACAGCACGCCCATCATCAGCAACGCGGTATCCACCGACGAAAGCTCGACCCAGCTGTCGTAGCGACGGCCTTCCTGCATGTCCAGGAAGTGGTAGTAGAAGCCCTTGTAGCCGGCCTTGCCGGTGCGCTGCGGGCCCATCGGCACGTCGCGGAAGAACTTCAGCGTGGTCAGGGTGCGGTCGATCGCCTGGTTGCGGCTGACCCAGCCGTTCTCGATGCCGATCGGATAGGCGGTCAGCGCGAAGCCGACCGAGGCGATGCTGGCGAACGGCCGCGACGGATAGCGGTCCGGGGTCAGGCCGTTGATCTCGTTGGTGGTGTCCCAGAAGAACTGGAAGGTGCGGCGCTCGATGTCGTCGAACAGCGGCGGCAGCTCCGGCTTCATCGGCCGCGGCGGTGCATCGGCCTCGATCAGGATCACCGGCGGCCGCGGCTTGGCAGGCTCCTGCTGGGCCGGCTGGCAGGCGGCCACGGCCAGGCTCAACGCTGCGGCGGACAACAGATGGCGTGCCTGCATGGCGCGGTTCCTCCGGTGGTCTGATCGATGGGAAAGCATAACGTCCAATGATCTGAAATCGTTTACAAGGTGCAGGCTGAAAAAACCACGAAAAACGTGGTTTGACACCGCGATCATTGCCCACGCCGCTGCCCCCTGGCCGGCAGCGGCGTGGGCAATGGACCGGCACCGGGCCGGCCATTGCCGTTGTTCATCCTGCCGATGCCGCCGGCGGACCGGCGGCATCGGAGTACTGCTGCAGGCTGGACCGCTTAGAAGCGGAAGCCCACTTCAGCCTTCACCTGGCGCGGCGTACCGACGATGTCGCCGGTCTCGTTGTAGCTCGCGGTCAGCTTGCCGTTCTTGTAGTAGTTGTAGTTCGAGAAGTTGTCGAAGTTGAACACGTTGATGATGTCGATACGCGCATACAGCTCGGTATCGCCCGGCATCTTGAACGTCTTGGTGGCCTGCAGGTCGACCGAGCGGTAGCCGAAGATCTTGCCACCCAGCAGGAACCGGCCATTGCCACCCGGAACCGCCGCCATCGGCGTCGGCAGGTCGAAGCCGTTGGCCTGCGGCACGCCGTACCAGTCGTTGATCGCGGTCGGGGTGGCCAGGGTCAGCTTGCCACCGAAGGTGATGCCCCAGAAGCCCGCGTACGATCCGGTCACCACCAGGCGGTGGCGCGGCGCGCCGTTGGAGCGGATGGTCGGGTAGTCACCGATCACGCCGCGGTCGAACGCGTAGTGCTCGTTGATGTCACGGTTGTGGCGGGCGGTGGTCCAGGTGTAGGCGATCGAGGTGCCCCAACCGCTTTCCTGGGTGAACGGCTTCTGCGCCGACAGCAGGATCTGGGTGGCACGGGTCTTGATGCCCTGCTGGCCGATGATCAGGCTGCCGAAGCCCGGCACGTTGCAGCTCCAGGCCTGCCCCAGGCCCGCCTGGGTACCGCCGCACAGGCGCGGGTCATCGAAGAAGTTGCCGGTCGGATAGCGGTTGCCCAGGGTGAAGGCGAAGCCGTCGTAGGTCAGCGTGCGCGAGATGGTGGCGTCGGTCAGCCACTCGCCGATCTGGTTGCTCATGCCCAGGCTGAACTGGTCGGCGTAAGGCACCTTCAGGTTGTTGTTCAGCAGGTCCACTTCCAGGCCGGCATTGCTGGTCGAACCGACCAGGCTCTGCAGGTTGCCGATGCCGTTGAGCAGGTTCGGATTCCAGTCATAGCAGGCGGCGTTGCCCTGGAAGCACTGGCCGGTGGCCGGGTTGCGGAAGTAGATGGTCGGCTGCGGCAGCGCCAGCTTGGTGGTTTCCAGCTGCAGGTAGTCGAACAGGTCGCGGTCGTAGGAACGGCCCGCACCACCGTGGATCACGTGCTGCTCGTCGGCATTGATGTCATACGAGAAGCCCAGGCGCGGCTGCCAGGCATCCTTGAACGCCTTGCGGTTGTGGCCGTTGCTGATGTAGTCGTTGATGTTCAGGCCGCTCAGCGCCAGCGTATCGGCGTAGCTCTGGCCAGCCGCAGCACGCGGGTCCTGCGCGAACAGCGCATTGACCACTTCCGGCGGGGTCACGAAGTCCAGGTAGGACGGGTTCTTCTCGTAGTCCCAGCGCAGGCCGAGGTTCAGCTGCAGGTGGTCGTTGACCTGCCAGTCGTCCTGGATGAACAGGCCGATCTGCTTGACCTTCGAGCGCACTTCGCCGGACACGCCGGACACGCCGGTCACCGGCTTCACGAACTGCGCTTTGTACGGAATGCTGTCCGGGAAGGTCGGGTTGTCGATGGTGTAGTAGAACTGCGGATTGATCTGCGCCGCGTCGGAGGCGTACAGGTCGATCTGCTTGTACTTGGCACCCATCTTGATGGTGTGGTCACCGGCCCACTGGATGCCATCCAGGGTCAGGTTGTCTTCGATCGACCAGCCCTTCTGGCCCTTCACCTGCGACGACATCGCCGACGAGCCGCCGATCGAGACGATCGGGCGCTCTTCGTTGGCGCCGTCCGGAGCGGTGTAGTTGAAGCCGTTGCCCATGCTCAGCGGCTTGGGATTGTTGAACGAATCCTCGTGGGTGACCATCAGCTCGTTGTAGTAACGCTCACCGCTGTGGTTCCAGCGCAACGCGTAACGACGGTCGGTGTTCTTGGTTTCCTTGCCGTGCATCGGCGCGGTCTGGTCCGAGAACTGCTGCTGGGTTTCGTCACGGTCCTGGAAGGTCAGTTCCAGGCGGTCGTTGTCGGTCGGCTCGAAGTCGATCTTGCCGAAGATCAGGTCCTGCTGGAACGGCTGGCTGGCCGGGCCCAGGCCCGCCTGTGCGTCGGCCGGCACGCGGTCGGCCTTAAGCAGTGGTATCAACGCAGAGTACTTGGTCACCGGCAGGTCGAAGCGCTTGGCTTCATAGGTGACGAAGAAGTGGGCCTTGTCCTGGATGATCGGGCCGCCCAGGGCGAAGCCGTATTCCTTCTCGGCCGAGACCATCTTCGACTTGTTCGGCTGGCGCTCGGCCGGGGTCATCGCACGCATGTCTTCATCGGTGTAGCGGTAGAACGCCTCGCCCTTGAACTCGTTGGTGCCCGACTTGGTCGCCGCGGTGACGGCGGCACTGGAGACCTGGCCATACTCGGCCTTGTAGTTGCCGGTGATGACCTTGTACTCGCCGATGGCCAGCTGCGGGAACGGGTTGCCCGCGCTGCCGGACTGGCCGGCGACGCCGCCGCCCTTCACGTAACTCTTCTGGCCCACGCCATCGATGTAGACATTGGTGCCATCGGCATTGGTGGCACCGCCGCGCAGCGAGGTGTTGCCCTTGGCATCACGGGTGAAGATCATGCCCGGAACCGCGTCGGCGAACTCCAGGAAGTTGCGCGAGACCTGCGGGGTGGTCTGGATCTGCTGCAGGCTGACGGTCTTGCCGACTTCGGAGGTGCGCACTTCCTGCAGCAGGGTCGGCGCGACGACGTTGACGGTGTCGAGGTTGGTCGCTGCGGTCGAACCCGGGGTGCTGCTGGCCGCACCGGCGAAGTTCAGGGTGGCGGTCGAGGCTACGGTGACGGTGACCTTCTGCGACTGGCCATTGGCGACCACGTCATAGGTACCCGGGTCCAGGCCCATCAGCGAGTAGCTGCCATCGGCACGGATGGTGCCGCGGCGGACGGTGCCGGTGGCCACGTTGGTGGCGGTGACTTCGGTGCCTGCCTGGGCGCCGGCCACCTGGCCACGAAGGCTGGCATTGGCCGACTGCGCCATGACGTTCGGAGCGGCGGCCAGCATCAGGCAGCTGACCAGTGCGGTGCTCAGCAGCCGGCGTGCCGGCGTGCGGAAGGTGGTGTGCATCATCAACTCAATCTCCGGGTGGCGGTGACCGCGTGCGCGGTCCCTGCGATCAATCAAAAAAGAAGGAACGCCTCTGGCTTCAACGGCCGGATGGCGGAGTGGTGGAATCGCGAACTATCAAGCGGGGAACCAGGGTCTGCTTGTCCCCTGTCCCGTCCGTGGAGGTGCCGTCCATCAACTGCATCAGGCGCGTCATGGCCCGATCGCCAAGCTCGGCGATGCTGACCTGCATGGTGGTCAGCGACGGGTGGACGAAACGCGCCAGTGGAATGTCATCGAAACCCGCCAGGGCGACATCGGACGGCACATGGACCCCTGCCTGGGTGAACGCATACAGGCAACCCAGGGCCATCATGTCGTTGGCGGCGAACACGGCATCGGGCAGCGCTCCGGCTGCCAGCAACTCCTGACCGGCACGATGGCCGGAAGCTTCGTCGAAATCACCGGGCAGCTCGATGCCCTCGGCGCCACTGCCGAATGCGGCCAGCGCGTCACGGAAGCCGCGCAGGCGCTCGCGCGCGTCGAAGTTGAGGTCCGGGCCAGAAATGAACGCAATGCGGCGGTGGCCGGCATCCAGCAGGTGGCGGGTCATCGCCATCGCGCCGGCATGATCGTCGATGCTCAGCACCGGGTGGTCCTGCCCGGGCAGATAGGTGTTGATCAACACCGTCGGCAGCGACTGCGGCAGGTTGTCGGTCAGGAAGCCCGGGCTCTCGGCATAGGGCGACAGCACCAGCAGGCCGTCGACGCGGCCGCGCATGGCACGCAGGGCCGCGCCCTGCTGCTCCTGGTCACCGTGGTAGCTGGACACCAGCAGGTGCTGGCGGCGGTTGCGGGCAACGTTGTCGATGCCGCGCATCAGCTCGGAGAAGAATTCGCCGTACAGGTCCGGAAGCACCACGCCCACCGTATTGGTGCGGCGGCTGCTCAGGCTGCGGGCGGCGGCGTGCGGGGTGTAACGCAGCCGTGCGGCCACCTCCAGCACAAGCTGGCGGACCGGTTCGGCGACATTTTCATGCCCGTTGAGCGCGCGGGAAACCGTGGCCACGGAGACCCTGGCTTCGCGAGCGACGTCTTTGATTGTGATAGCTGCCTTGTTCACGAAGCCGCCCTCCACGGCTTGGACCTACCAGCATTGGCGCGGAATGTAAGCGTTTCCATCTGGGCTTGTAAACAGTCCGTTAGGCGAATGTCCTGAAATGGACATGGAAATCTGTCCATGGCGGGGCCCCGCAGGGACCGGCCAGGACAGTGCGGGACAAGGGCTCAGCCCTGTTCTGACGGGGTCTGTGCGCGGATGGACAAGGCGTGGATATCGGTGTCCATCATCGACCCCAGCGCGGCGTAGACCGCGCGATGCCGGGCCAGCGGGCCCAGTCCGGCGAAGCGTTCACTCACCACATGCACGTTGAAATGGCCGCGCCCGTCGCGCGCGCCGGCATGCCCGGCATGGCGATGACTGTCGTCCTCGATCTCGAGCACGCTCGGCGCCAGTGCCTGTTGCAGCGCAGCACGCATCCGTTCGATCCGTTCCGCGTTCACGGCAGGACCTTGCGGAAAGGACGCACCTGCACGCGGGTGTAGACGCCTGCGGCCACGTACGGGTCGGCATCGGCCCAGGCCTGGGCCTGTACCAGCGATTCGAACTGCGCGATCACCACCGAACCACTGAAACCGGCCGGGCCCGGGTCTTCACTGTCCACCGCCGGGCACGGGCCGGCCAGCAGCAGGCGCCCCTCGTCACGCAGCGCGTGCAGCCGCGCCAGGTGTTCCGGCCGCGCCTGCAGCCGTTGCGCCAGCACGTCCTGGCCGTCATACCCTTCGATCACATACCACACCGGCATTTCCTCGCTTGCGTTGTCGGGTGCGCAGATTCTAGCCAATGCGGCCGCTGCCCCGGCCCGGCTGGACACTGGCGCGACAAAGGCTTACCCTAGGCTCCATTGCACGTGGCTGGATGCAGCAGCCCGTCGGTTTTTGCGGCCAACGCAGCCCCCGACGACCGTCCCGCTGCTTCAAAACCGGACCATCCGGCCGGGCCACGTAGACGACCTCCCCGTAGTTCTGTCGCTGCCGTTCCCTGCGGCGCGTCCTGCTGTTTGATATGTGTGGAATCGCGCCGATCCCGGCGTGTCTGGTGCCCTGGGGCTCCGTGGCGCAGGCCCGGCGATCCCGGTGCCGCGACTGGTCCGTTGCAATCCTGATGTCCATTAGATGACTTCCGAACTCGCGCTCGACGCGAACCCGCCAACCCGGCCGCCCGCCCCCCAGCAGCAGGAAATGCCGCTGGCCGTGGTGCATGGGCAACCGGTCCTGCAGATTCCGCAGGACCTGTACATTCCGCCGGACGCGCTGGAAGTCATCCTGGATGCCTTCGAAGGCCCGCTGGACCTGTTGCTGTACCTGATCCGCCGGCAGAACCTGGACGTGCTGGACATCCCCGTGGCCGAGATCACCCGGCAGTACGTGGAATACATCACCGTGATGCGCGAGCTGCGCTTCGAGCTTGCTGCCGAGTACCTGGTGATGGCCGCGATCCTGGCCGAGGTGAAGTCGCGCATGCTGCTGCCGCGCCCGGTCAGCGAGGAAGGCGACGAAGCCGACCCGCGCGCCGAACTGGTGCGCCGCCTGCAGGAGTACGAACGTTTCAAGCAGGCCGCCGAGGACATCGACGCCCTGCCCCGCCAGGACCGCGACACCAGCCTGGCACACGCCTTCATGCCCGAACGCGCTACGGTGAAGCTGCCGCCGCCGGTGGACCTGAAGGAAATGCTGCTGGCGCTGCACGACGTGCTCAAGCGCGCCGAGCTGTTCAGCGGCCACGCCATCAAGCGCGAGGCGCTGAGCGTGCGGCAACGCATGGGCGAAGTGCTCGGCCGGCTTGAAGATGGCAAGTTCTATCGTTTTGAAGGGCTGTTCACTGCTGAAGAAGGCAAGCTGGGCGTGCTGGTCACGTTCCTGGCAGTGCTGGAACTGGCCAAGGAACAGCTGCTGGACATCGTCCAGGAAGAACCGCTGGCGCCGATCTACGTGAAGTCGCTGGCGGCCGGCAACACCAATGCCCCGCTGCAGTTCAGCAGCGAGTTCGACGACAACGACGCCGCCAATGCGGACGAGTGAGCGCTGACTGCCGATGGATCAATCGCTGATCGACCGCATTGTCGAGGGTGCCCTGCTGGCCTCCAGCCAGCCGCTCACCCTGGCCCAGCTGAAGGACCTGTTCCCGGAAGAGGAACCGGCACCGCCGGGCAGCATCGAACGTGCGCTGGAACGCCTGCGGGAAGCCTGCGCAGGCCGCGGCGTGGAACTGGTCGAGGTCGCCTCCGGCTTCCGCTACCAGGTCACCGGCGAAGTGCATGGCTGGATCAGCCGGCTGTGGACCGAACGCAAGACCCGCTACACCCGTGCCACCCTGGAAACCCTGGCGCTGATCGCCTACCGGCAGCCGATCACCCGCGGCGAGATCGAACAGGTGCGTGGCGTGGCGGTCAGCAGCAACATCATCCAGGCGCTGGAAGAGCGCGAGTGGATCCGCGTGGTCGGCCACCGCGACGTACCCGGCAAGCCGGCCCTGTTCGGTACCACCAAGGGCTTCCTGGACTACTTCGGCCTGAAGCGCCTGGACGAACTGCCGCCGTTGTCGGAATTGAAGGACCTGGGCGAGCTGGACCCCCAGCTGGCCCTGGACCGCGGCGTACCGGCCGCCGCCGGTGCTGACGGTCCGGACATCTCGGCCGGCGCCGATGGCGCTGCCGCAAACGATGATGCCGGCAGTTCCGGCAGTGACACCCCCGATTCCGCCGATGCAGCCCCTGCCTCGGCCTCCGATGAGCAAGCACCTTCGCCCTTCGATGATGGGCATCCCGATTCCGCGCCGGGCGAGCGCGCGGTGCCAGTGAACGAACGCGAAGACAACGCCGTCGCGATGACGACCGTGGCTGTTGACCAAGCCGATTCCGAACCAGAGGCCGACCTCGAAACCGTCGGCCGGAGCAAAACTGATGAGTGACACCCCTCGCAAGCTGTCGTTGAACAAGCTCTCGCTCAAGCGCGAAGCCACCTCCGAACAGTTCAAGTTGGAAGAACGCCTGCACAAGGTGCTGGCCCAGGCCGGCCTTGGCTCGCGCCGCGCGCTGGAACAGCGCATTGCCGAAGGCCTGATCAAGGTCAACGGTGAAGTCGCGCAGACCGGCATGTCGGTCAAGAGCGGCGACAAGATCGAGATGGACGGCCGCGGCTTCGTCGCCACCGCCCTGGCCGAGCCGTCGCGCGTGCTGGTCTACAACAAGCCGGAAGGCGAAGTGACCACCCGCGAAGACCCCGAAGGCCGCCCGACCGTATTCGAATCGCTGCCGCCGCTGAAGGGCGCGCGCTGGATCGCGATCGGCCGCCTCGACATCAACACCACCGGCCTGCTGCTGGCCACCACCGACGGTGAGCTGGCCAACGCCATGATGCACCCGTCGTTCGAGGTCGAGCGCGAGTACGTGGTGCGCGTGCGCGCCCCGGAAGGCGAGGAAAAGGTCTCCGACGCCATCGTCGACCGCCTCTCCCGCGGCGTTGCACTGGAAGACGGCCCGGCCAAGTTCGACGAGATCGAGCGCATCGGCGGCACGGATTCGCACGACTGGTTCCGCGTCGTGGTGAAGGAAGGCCGCAACCGCGAAGTGCGCCGCCTGTGGGAATCGCAGGGCTGCCAGGTCAGCCGCCTGAAGCGTACCCGCTATGGCAAGGTCAGCCTGCCGCGCGAACTGGCCCGCGGTCATTCAGTGGAACTGGGTACCGCCCAGGTGGAAGCCCTGCGCGCGCAGCTGAAGCTGGAAGAAGGCGCGCCGTCGGCACTGACGCTGCAGCCGGTGATCGGCCAGCGCCGCGCCGCCAAGACCACCGTGCGCGTGCGCGAGGGTGGCCGTGGCAATGCCTACGTCAACGGCCACAACACCGCTGATGAAGGCCGCGAGCTGCGTCGCTTCGACAACGTCCGCGAAGATCGCGGCCGTGGTCGCGGTGGCAAGGGCGGCGGTTTCAAGGGCGGCCTGACGGTCAGCGGTGAAGCCGCGGCCAAGCAGTCGCAGAAGCCGTTCAAGCAGCGCGCGCAGAAGAACGACCGTTCGCTGCCGGAAGGCAATCCGGCGGCATTCCGCACCTGGTACGTGCCGGATGGCGTGAGCACCGGCCCGAGCGGCCATCGCAACGCCGGTCCGGGCGCGCGTGGCCCGGGTGCCCGTGGTCCGGGTGCAGGCGGCCAGGGCCGTCCGTACGGCAAGCCGAAGGGTCCGGGCGCAGGCGCCGGTGGCGGCCAGGGCCGTGGCGGTTTCGGTGGTGAAGGCCGTGGTGGCGCCGGTGGCGGCCAGGGTCGTCCGGCCGGCGCGGGCAACCGCTCGCAGGGCCAGGGCAACAAGCACCCGTACGGCCATCCGGGCAATGCCCCCAGCTTCCCGTCCGATCACGCGACCCCGGGCTTCAACCCGTATGGCAGCCCGAAGCCGGCACACGGCGCCCGTCCGGGCGGCCGTGGTCCGGGCGGCGGCAACAACCGTGGCCCGGGTGGCAATCGTGGTCCCGGTGGTCCGGGTGGCAACCGTGGCCCGGGTGGCCCCGGCGGCAACCGCGGTCCGGGCGGCCCGCGCCGCAGCGGCCCGCGCGGCGGCTGATCGCCGATACGCTTGAAATGAAAAACCCCGGCTCCGGCCGGGGTTTTTCGTTGCGCAAGAAAAAGGGGACGGAGGGAATTAAGTCGTTTTTGCCACAGTGCGCGCCGAACGGCAAAAACGACTTAATTCCCTCCGTCCCCTTTTCGCGGGTTCAGCGGCGCCGGATCACGAACGAGGAGCCGTCCACACCCAGGTCCCAGCCACGGCCGCTACCGGCCAGCGCCAGCGACACGTCGCCCTTGGTCATCGCCACGGCACCACCGGAGCGGATCGCGCCGGCGTGCGCCCCCAGCGCCACGTACTTGCCGAGCAGGTCGTCCAGCGAATAGGCGCCGGTGAAACGGCCCTTGCCGTCGACGATCTTCGATTTGCCAACGGTCAGGCCACCGCCGGTGACCTTGATGCGCACCGGAATGCGCGCGCCGTTGGTGCACTGAATGGTGCCGGTACCCGAAGCGGTCTTGTAGAACAGCGACCAGCCGGACAGGTTGTAGCGCAGGTCGCAGTCGATGTTGCCGGCCGCCTGCGCCGCAGGAGCGGTCAGCGCGGTGGCGAGCAGGCCCAGGGCCAGCAGCAGGGAGAATTTCATGGTGTCATCCGGTGGGAAGGCAGCGCTCAGGCGCGCTCGTCCAGGTGGAAGGCATCGGCATCGAGCATCGCAGGGAAGCGTGCGCGGTGCGCGGCCAGCGCCTCGGCAGAGATCGTGCTGGTCACCACCTGCTCGCGCTCGCGGATCTCCACCTGCGGCTGGCCAAGGAAATCAATCAAGTACTCTGCGTTGATAC